AAGTTTGTAGCTCTAAACATACCCTTGTCTAGGACGCAATATTTCAAACTATTCAATTCATTTTCCCTACTAAAAATAAACTGAAGCCCAAGGACATTTAAGAAGAGACAAAAATAGCATTTTTGTCCTTTCATGACTATTCTAGACATAATTCTGTTTCGGTCGCAAGCATTTAAGAGATTTAAGTCAGTAGGAGTTGTAAGTATCCAAATATTTCTTAGGCACAAAAATAACAAACCCTTGCTCAGTTTTACTATTAATCCGAGCGGCTACTTCTCAAATAGTACACTGAATATAAATCCCCTCATCCGTCTTTTGTAATAAAGAGACCTGACAAATACCGGTAGTCACTTAAAATAATTAAAATTATTTTGCCTACGGCAAGAAAATATTTAGGCAAGCAAAATATTTCTTTCCCTCTGTTCAATTTGCCCAAGTCTTTGAGCATTAACAAATAATCTAGTCCCTTGATGCCTAGATAAGGCAATAAAATGCATTAAAAACCTCTGTCGTTCTCTAACATCCTGCACTATATTCCCTTTAAACAACAAGTTAATCTGTCCTACGGCAATAGAATAATTACGAGTAATTATCCATTTCATCCAAAAAAATAGTCTCAGTTACTCCTAATCTTTGACTAGGAGCATAAGAAAAATCCAATTGCCCCTTCTCAGCCCAAGGGAGTTGACAAGAAAAAGTGGCATACTTATTCTCCCCAGGCAGTTCATTAGCCAACATAGCCAATATTGCCGTTTTACCACTCCCGATAGGACCAAAAAACACCAAACCATTGCTTTTAGCACACTCAGGAGTACTATCAGGAGTTTGAATAAGAAAAAAAGTGAACTGGTGAACAATAGTGAAATGAAAAAACAATACTATATAGCAATTATAATATTAATAAATTATGAATAAAAAAATAAAAAGCATTTTCTTCACCAGCAGTTGATTATTTTCAATCCACTGCCTACATTCTAAACTAGGACTTGAGATAATCTCGGCCTCAGTGTTAGGGCTTGTTTTTGTCACTATTCTTCAGTTATTTATGGACGAGTTATAAAAGCATATTAGACACTATGAGCGGCAATTATGAATGATTCCCTTGCTATCATTGTGGTCAAGGCAGTTATCAAGTATATATTCCTGACGACTATACCGGTGATCCTGCTATTCGAGCAGTCTGTCCTAAATCAGAATGTCAACAAAAAGAAAGGGAATTAAAACAAAAAATTAAGGACTTAAAAGAAAAAGAACAGCAAGAAAAGTCAGCAAAAATTCAAGGACAAATTGAAAATTATAAAGAATTAGAAAAAGAAATTAACGATATAGTTGCTGACAGTTTTGCTTATTGAGAAGACAATGAAATCCAAAATTTCTTTGCTGATTGAAAACAGAAAATAACTAATGAAAGTGA